AACAAAGATAATAGCTCTGGCAGAAAGTCCTATAACTCACACAACACTGCAAACCGGCTTCTCTTATCAAGCCACTTATCCAAATTGGCTTGATAAGAGAACGCAAACGAGAACAAGAATGAGAACGTTGACTTCTGCAACCAGGGCGTGGCACCAGCAGTCTCTTTTATCAGCAGGAGGGGATCTTGATCAGCATCAGCTGTTCATAATCACCTCCTGTAGTTACTCCGTTTTTCTTTACGCTGAGTAGCCCTGCGCCTGCATGCATCCTGATACAACTTCCAAATGTTTTCCTGAACATTCCCTTTGATCCAATGCTTTGCCGCCACCTGGTGGCCAACCAGACTCTCCTCGCCCTGCTCGGAGTTGACACCCTGTCCAGAGTCCTCCACCTCCTCCAAGGCTGACTCATAAGTCCCCTTGCTGTCGGAGTCTGGCGACAGCTCTAGTACCTCCTGCCGGGCCACAACAGGTAACAGTGTTCCCTGCGCCTTTGGCATTTAGTCATTCTGGCCACACGATCATGGAGACGTCTTCGGACAGCACTGGCTCTTCAGCTGTGAAACAGAGATGAGCACTGCCCCCTAGAGTCAGGAATGACTAGCTCATATGTGCAAGGGGAACCTTTACCTTTATATAGTCCTTTGTGGGGCTTTACTCTTTGTTCTTCAATTGCAAAGTAGATCTGTGCACTTAGTTATCTTATAAGAAGGTCCTACAGTAAATGGCAATATATTTAATACAAAAGAGAATAAACCAGTCCTGTTGCACATAGAGGCTCCCTTGCTAATTCCAACTGGAGCCTTAGATGTTTCCCAAAGTCCTATCTGAATGGCAGACCTTGCCTCCATGTTTTTAATCCTATGAAATCAAATCAATGTATTTCTTAACCTCAGGCAGAAGGGACAATAATTACAGCCCCTTTCAAGTCACAGCCTTATGATTCTGCAGGCTGTGCAGTCAAATCAATATTTCAGGTAATGGGTTGATTTCCATCCAGTTCTGGAATGACAGTCGCATTTATTGCTTCAAGGCATGTTGAACTGACATAGGCATTTTAAGTGATTTCTGCATAGCTCCTCACTTTTGGCTTTTTTCTCCTTTTAGGACTCACAGTGGCTCTGGATTCTTTGTTCTGGGGGCAGGTCTTGTGGCCTGAGGGAAAAGTACTTTGGTATAATGTTGTGTTAAATAAAAGCTCCAACTGGGGAGTATCCTTTTAAACATTGGAGGAAACAGAATTCTGTAGCACAATTTAAACGAATTCAGTATTCACAATGTTAGAAGGAATACTGGAAATAACTAAATGAGGTAAAAAGTCTTGTCATAAACTCTTTATTTTGCATCCTTTCCAAGCCACATCACTTCTTTGTCATAGCAAGAATTGAAATTTGTATGGAACCAAATTTTAAATGTCTTCAGCCATTTTTATTTCTTACACCTGATTCCACTCCTCCCTCCCTCCCATTCCTGCCAGCTTCCTCATTTACGTTGCTTGAAGGGAAAAAGTAATTGAGGAAGCCAGCAGGAAGTTGCAAGGCCTGGAGACTGGTATGTGGTAGTTGGTGGGTGGGAAAGAGAGCCATGAGATACTGTATTTTTTGGACTATAAGATGCACCAGAGTATAAGACGCACCAAGACTTCGAAGAGGCAATTAAAAAAAAAGTTTTTGCCCTCCCCGTCCCCCAGGAGCACTCTGTAGGCCTCCCAAACCCTCTGCATGCCCCATTTATTGTGAAAACGGGGCATGCAGAAAGTTTGAGAGGTCTGGAGAGTGCTCCTGGGGGCTAAAGAGGGTAAAAAATGAGCAAAAAATGGACCATTTTTTTCAAAAGCGGGTCCATTTTTTGCAAAAATAACCCAAGGGGCCGTGCAGAGAGTTTGGAAGGCCCGCAGGAGGCTTAGGAGGGCAAAAACAGCACTGTTTTTGTGGAAAATGGGCCTATTTTTCACTCTCTCCAGGAGCACTTTGCAGGCCTCCCAAACCCCCAGATTTTCGCCCTCTTTTGCGGGGCTTCTTATACTCAGAAAAATATGTTATATGGTACATCGGGTTTCACAAGATGTGCCATATTGGTTGGGGAGGTCTCGTGGGTGAGCAGAATGTTTTGGGGAGGGCGTGACTGGGAGTGTGAGAGAAGTGCTGTGTGAGTCAGGGAGGAGTTGTTGAGAGGTGGCACAGAGAGGGGGAGCACACATGGGGGGGGCATAATCTAGAAAAAGTGTGTGGAGGCTCCTTTCTCCTTCCTTTCCTTTGGCAGCAGGTGACTGCTGCTGGATTGGAGAAGGTGTGGGATGTTGTGGGATTGGCTGGGAAACTGTCACAGAATGTTGAAAGTGAAGATCATGTAATCCCAGCAGAAGCCTAGCGGTGTAGCAGCAGCAGCTAGTAACCAAATCCCCCAAATTTCACTCCCTTTGATGTCATGGGTTCCAAATTTTGAATGTATCCTTAGGTTAGCTCATTTGAGGTACCTCAGTTCAAAAAATGTTAACCTACAATGCACTGTATCTCAAACAATGGAATTCTGCTAAATCTGTGATTCTCGTCACACAATGTATTGTGTGGTTTTGTTGGTTACATAAAAGTCTAGACTTCGGTCACGAGTTCTTCAGTGACAAACTAGGGGCATCTGAGGTGAGGTAATTGGGAACAGGGGATGTTTATGTTTAGTATACACGCTTTTTACTTTTTCTCATACAAAGTACTAAATGTAAGAGGTGATTTTGTATCTCACTGGATATATTTTATAATGCTATGTATGATAAAGTAGCTCATTCATGCAGCAAACAAACAAAAACATAAGAAAACATTGAAAAAGTGGTATTTTTTTTCTAGAAAGTTTCAAGTGGCTCTATAATGTTCTAGACAATTTTAGAAATGTAGAAGGTACCACACTGAGAAAATTATTAATTCAGATAGCCTTTTTTTAGTAATAAAAAAATTCCTTAACTGTCTTTTTTAAAGACCTCGCCTTTTTTGTGGTATTTTTACTCTGCCTTGCCTCGCGCTCTGGGTTGCAGTATTGTATTTCTACCACTAGGAGCAGTAGACCGAAGATGTTGGGCATTAATTCTACCCTCACTTGGTTTTATTTTCCTGTATTCCTTTCTCCCACACAAAGAGCTGCGGTTTATAATATACACATTTCCAGTTTTGAATATAGTGGCTGCCAAAGGCTGCTCGCGAATGTAAGTGTACTTGTACATACTATATTTAATTACTGTTTCAAGATCTTGACTTCGTTATTCATCACTTGCTACCATGTTTCCCTGAATATAAGACAGGGTCTTACTTTCGTTTGACCCCCCTGAAATAAGCTCTTGGCCTTATTTTTGGGGAGGTCTTATTATTTTTGAGATGCAGGAAGTGGCGAGTGTGGTCACCTCATGGCTGCTGCTATGTTGCAATATTTTTGGGGAGGGTTTATTTTTGGGGAGGGCTTATTTTAGTGCATGTGCTCAATCGCCCGATTGGGCTTCTTATCCAAGGAGGTCTGATTTTTGGGGAAACAGAATAGTTTACCAATCACATTGTTGTCCAAACAACCTTGGTAGGAATTCTGGGAGTTGAAATCTTAATCATTTTGTGGGCCCCAGATTGGGAAAGGCTGACTTGGAATAAAAGATCCTTATTTTGTCATTCCCTCAGGGCACCAGTCACTTAATATTGGCCTTAAGACCTGATGAGACTGAATGAGATGTAAAATGGATGAAGAGTGACATTTCCCATGACCTTTTTGGATTAGAAAATATGCAAGCTGTTTAGTCCTATGAATTTTAAGCCACAGCCAACTAACCTCTGTCTTTACAAAGGATGAAACAAAAAATCCCCATTAAAAAATCTCATTTTGTTACTGCATATTATATGTAGTAAATTCTGCCCCCCCCCCCCCCCGCGGTTGCTTTTTAAAGTCTAGTAAAACAGCAGTCCCAAACCTTTCTGGCTCCATGGACCGGTGGTGGAGGGGGGGAAGGGATGGTTTTGTGTGCGCAACCTAATGAAGCTGCATGTACAAATGAAGCTTTGCATGCTTGCCACCACTTGCATTGCCTGGTTCTCAACGAGGTTCGTGACTCAGGGGTTGGGGACCTCTGCACTGAAGGTTTGAACTTCTTCCAAGATTGCAAAGTTTTACTTTCATTTCTATCTAATCAGGGTTTAGTATCAACCTGAATAAATGGACTAGATCAGTGTATAGTACTCTAAATCAGCTTGACTTTGACCTGTGTTTTAGAGCTAGGGTTAATTACAGTTTAGGGTTTGAATATCATGCTGAACCACACTTTAACTGAAGATGGAAATGCAAATTTCAAAGGAAAACTGTTTGTGTATGTAAAACGTAATCCCAGGGCTCTCGCCTCTGACAGTAAACAAGTTTAATACAATACAAAAATGACACCTACAATTCGTTCAATGTGATCTTTCAACAGATGTGTTTTGGACTTGGATATATTGTTCCCACTAAATGCACTATTTTTCTTTTCTACACAGTCTAAACAATTACAAGAAATCATGGTTATACAAATTAGGCACTCTGTTTGTTATAGCACATCTTTTTGCTAATGCTGCTTACTCAGGAGCATCGCTCTATGTGTCCCACTTCAATTACCCTGGAGGAGTTGCTATGCAGAAACTACACCAGCTGGTACCTCCAACATCAGGTGAGTAAAACTGGGTTGATAAAAAAAAAACTCATCTGGCGGCTTGGTATCTTTTGCGGCCCTTTCTGCAGATTTGATGGCACTAAACACATGGGCCATTTTTTGTTGCTGCACTCTGTGAGGTTTCAAGAGATAAAGTGACAGCTTTAAAGCTTGCTCTTTTAAGCCTTACTCTGCCTTTTCCCATTTTGAAGGTGTGACCTATGATAGGGGTGATAAGGTGTGAGAAAGACAACACCACCCACAGAGCAAAATACGTTGAAAGGCCTTATGAATTACATTTTTGCATACATTTTGAAAGGGGATGCGGTGGCTCAGTGGCTAAGATGCTGAGGTTGTCGATCAGAAAGGTTGGCAGTTTGGCAATTCGAATCCCTAGGGCCGCGTAGCGGAGTGAGCTCCTGTTACTTGTCCCAGCTTCTGCCAACCTAGCAGTTCAAAAGCATGTAAAAATGCAAATAGAAAAAATAGGAACCACCTTTGGTGGGAAGGTAACAGCGTTCTGTGCATCTTTGGTGTTTAGTCAGGCTGACTAAACCAGGACCATGGAGATGTCTTCGGACAGCACTGACTCTTCAGCTTTGAAACGGAGATGAGCACTGCCCCCTAGAGTCAGGAAAGACTTTCACATATGTGGGAGGGGAACCTTTACCTTTTATACATTTTGAACCCCCTGTGGAATCGGAGGACCCCCATGCCGTGAAAGTAATTAGGAATAGGATGTTAATAGCATAGAACAGTGTTCTTTAATCTGTCAACTGGAAGGTGTGTAGATTAAAGTCCCCAACCAGCACGGTCCCTAAAGCTGTAGTGCTTTACATATGTTAAGTGGCATAAAGAGGGCATGATGTTGGTACATAGTATCAAATTAGCTGCTTTAGCAATGGTAACAGTACTGACAATGGAGATTATTAACCGATGTCAAGAAGAGTGTGGTCACTCGTGCACTATACTATGAATTATATGTCAATGCCATATATTTTCTTACATTCAGATAGACATTGCCATATACCATATTTTTCGGAGTATAAGACGCACCAAGATTTTGAAGAGGCAAATAAAAAAAAGTTTTTGCACTTTGCAGACCTCCCGAAACGGTTTGTTTTTCACGAAAATGGGCCTGCTTTTTTTTTCCAAAAAAGGGCATGAATAGCCTTTAGGCTTGTAGAGTGCTCCTAGCGGGTGGGGGCCTGCAAAATGAGCAAAAAACGGCCCATTTTTCACTCATTTCTGTCCTCCCCAACCCCCAGGAGCACTCTGGAAACCTCCTAAAGGCATTGCACAGCCATTTTGGTGAAGGGGGCGGGGTTTCGGGAGGCAAGAAATGCTGTATTCAGTGTATAAGACGCACCCAGATTTTCAGCCTCTTTTTTGAGGCAAAAAGGTGTGTCTTATTTTCTGAAAAATACGGTTATTTATATTATAGTGGGGACTCATAAGCAGGAAATAAGAGAGCTACCCCTATCCTTCTACTGTTTCTCTGCAAGTGGTATTCTACCCCCACCCACCCCCAACCCAGAATGATGCTAAGTAATTATCCCTTAGTAGACTTGTCCTGCTTTTAAAGCCATCCAAATGAGGGGCCATCGTTGTGTCTTGGCATAACAAATGCCAGGATTTATTTCATTCTGTGCAAGAAGTGCTTTCCTGTACCTGTTCTAAGTCTTCCAGCCACTTTCATTGGATGACCCCAGTCCTAATTACAGATAATCTTCGACTTACAACAGTTCATTTAGTGAGCATTCAAAGTTACAAAACGGCACTGAAAATTATGACCCTTTTCCATACTTATGACCTTTGCAGCATCCCCATGATCATGTGACCAAAGTTCAGATGCTTGGCAATTTTAGTTCATATTTATGACCATTGTTGTGTCCCAAGATCATGTGATCATCTTTTGCAACCTTCTGATGAGCAAAGACTATGGGGAAGCCAGGTTCACTTAACAACCAGGTTACTAACTTATTAACTGCAGTGATTCGCTTAACAACAGAGGCAAGAAAGGTTGTAAAATGGGGCAAAACTCGCTAAACAAACATCTCACTTAACAACAGAAATGTTGGGTTCAATTGTGGTCGTAGGTCGAGGACTACCTGTATTTGATCCTAGTATTCTCACAGTTGGCAATCAAGTGATGGATAGTTTTGCCATTCTTAGCAGAGCCTTTACAAAGCTATATAGGAAGGGGTTTGCAAGGGTTCTGGAAATATACAGTAACAAGCATGTGGTGAGTTCACCAAAGAGTCTTCTCAGACAATACATTGAGGAGTATTTTGAATGCTCAGTATGGCTATTTCAGTGCCTCTTTCCAGATATCTAAGCAGCGAAAGCATGAACAGGAGATAACTTCCATATCAAGTGCTGTTTTCATTGTGTTGAGGCCCAAAGGCACTTCTGTGAGTAAATAAGTCACTAAATGTTGGTGCTTCGCCCCCCCCCCCCCGCTCACATGAGCTGCTCCTTTAATTAATTTTTTTTAAATGGACTAAATTCTAGGTTGAACACCTTATTCATTAATTTTAAGTATATATATTCCACACCTAGCATCTCCAG